GTGTTAATGTCTACTTCCTGATGGCTTATCCCCCCCCCCCCGGCACGAAATAGGATTTGAGTTTGAACATTTTGCTTGTTAACATTATTTCAGGTAAGTTATTTTTTTCTCTGGCTGCCCTTTTAAAAACGTACAGTTGTGTAATTGTGGTTTGATTGGTTGATTAAATGACACATTAAAAATAATAGCTTAATTATAGAGTTACGTGTATTACAGTATTAGCCACATGCTAAATACCGGTATTTCATCATTTTCAAGTTTTATTTGAATCAATTTAATTATTTTAATTTCTATAACCTAATCTAAGTATAAGTTGCTTATACCCACCCCAAACCATGTAGTACTAGGATACAACATAATTTAGAGATTAAAGGATTTCATTTTCATGATGATTTCTCATCTTTTCCTAAAACATGTTGGCTGCATTCGTCTTTGATTAACTGATCAAGGGATTCATAATGTTGCATTATAATTTATAAATAAAAAAAATATTACATCAATTTGTTTTTTTAACTCATTTTAGCAAATATAAAATAGAATGAACAATTAACAGTTCCTACTTTCCCCTCTAAATTAATATCAAAAACATGCAAATAAGATATATACACAGATACCGAAAAATCTTTGAAGGAAGTGTGAACACTGAACGCTTCCTGTTGCCAGGTAACAATAAATAAATATAATGCAGGTTACTTCCCTTCATTTGCGGTATTTGTACATGTAGATTATTTCAGACACATAGGAAGCGATTTATATTTTATTTCTTTTTTAGGGGGGGGGGGGGGGTTCTTTACATGGAATAAACAAGAGGCCCATGGGCCACATCGCTCACCTGAGAAGCTTTGACCATTCTGTTCTTTACCGGATTTCCCCCTTGTTATACATAATGCATCACCACCCTACCCCACTGATCATAATTTAGACATTTTGAAATCTACACTACCCCATGATCCTTCCATGGGCACATATGTTTCAGCTTTTTTGGCCCAGTGTTCCTGAAAGAAGATTTTCAAAGATCTTTCCTATATATTTCTATGTAAAACTTTGATTCCCTATAATGGCCCCGCCCTTCCCCCGGGGGTCATGATTCCTAAAATTTAGAATTTACACTACCCCAGAATGCTTCCACATAAGCTTCACTTTTTCTGGCCAAGTGGTTCTTGAGAAGAAAATTTTCAAAGATTTTTCCTATATATTTCTATATAAAACTTTGATTCCCCATTGTGGCCCCGCCCTTCCCCCGGGTGTCATTATTTGAACAATTTAGAATCTACATTATACCAGGATGCTTCCACATAAGTTTCAGCTTTTCTGACCCAGTGGTTCTTGAGAAGAAGATTTTCAAAGATTTTTCCTATATATTTCTATGTAAAAATTTGATACCCCATTGTGGCCCCGCCCTTCCCCTGGGGGTCATGATTTGAACATTTTAGAATCAACACTATACCAGGATGCTTCCACATAAGTTTCAGCTTTTCTGGCCCAGTGGTTCTTGAGAAGAAGATTTTCAAAGATTTTTCCTATATATTTCTATATAAAACTTTGATTCCCCATTGTGGCCCCACCCATCCCCCGGGGGTCATTCTTTGAACAATTTAGAATCTACATTATACCAGGATGCTTCCACATAAGTTTCAGCTTTTCTGGCCCAGTGGTTCTTGAGAAGAAGATTTTCAAAGATTTTTCCTATATATTTCTATATAAAACTTTGATTCCCCATTGTGGCCCCGCCCTTCCCCCGGGGGTCATGATTTGAATAATTTAGAATCAACACTATACCAGGATGCTTTCATATAAGTTTCAGCTTTTCTGGCCCAGTGGTTCTTGAGAAGAAGATTTTCAAAGATTTTTCCTATATATTTCTATGTAAAACTTTGATTCCCCATTGTGGCCCCGCCCTTCCCCCGGGGGTCATGATTTGAACAATTTAGGATCTACATTATACCAGGATGCTTCCACATAAGTTTCAGCTTTACTGGCCCAATGGTTCTTGAGAAGAAGATTTTCAAAGATTTTTCCTATATATTTCTATGTAAAACTTTGATACCCCATTGTGGCCCCGCCCTTCCCCTGGGGGTCATGATTTGAACAATTTAGAATCAACACTGTACCAGGATGCTTCCACATAAGTTTAAGCTTTTCTGGCCCAGTGGTTCTTGAGAAGAAAATTTTCAAAGATTTTTCCTATATATTTCTATATAAAACTTTGATTCCCCATTGTGGCCCCACCCACCCCCCGGGGTCATTATTTGAACAATTTAGAATCTACATTATACCAGGATGCTTCCACATAAATTTCAGCTTTTCTGGCCCAGTGGTTCTTGAGAAGAAGATTTTCAAAGATTTTTCCTATATATTTCTACGTAAAACTTTGATACCCCATTGTGGCCCCGCCCTTCCCCCGGGGGTCATGATTTGAACAATTTAGAATCAACACTATACCAGGATGCTTCCATATAAGTTTCAGCTTTTCTGGCCCAGTGGTTCTTGAGAAGAAGATTTTCAAAGATTTTTCCTATATATTTCTATATAAAACTTTGATACCCCATTGTGGCCCCGCCCTTCCCCCGGGGGTCATGATTTGAACAATTTAGGATCTACATTATACCAGGATGCTTCCACATAAGTTTCAGCTTTACTGGCCCAATGGTTCTTGAGAAGAAGATTTTCATAGATTTTTCCTATATATTTCTATGTAAAACTTTGATACCCCATTGTGGCCCTGCCCTTCCCCTGGGGGTCATGATTTGAACAATTTAGAATCTACACTATACCAGGATGCTTCCACATAAGTTTCAGCTTTTCTGACCCAGTGGTTCTTGAGAAGAAGATTTTCAAAGATTTTTCCTATATATTTCTATATAAAACTTTGATTCCCCATTGTGGCCCCGCCCTTCCCTCGGGGGTCATGATTTGAACAATTTAGAATCTACACCATACCAGGATGCTTCCACATAAGTTTCAGCTTTTCTGGCCCAGTGGTTCTTGAGAAGAAGATTTTTAAAGATTTTTCCTATATATTTTTATATAAAACTTTGATTCCCCATTGTGGCCCCGCCCTTCCCCCGGGGGTCATGATTTGAACAATTTAGAATCTACACTACCCCAGGATGCTTCCACATAAGTTTCAGCTTTACTGGCCCAGTGGTTCTTGAGAAGAAGATTTTTTAATGACCCCACCCTATTTTTGTCTTTTCTTGATTATCTCCCCTTGCGAGGGGATATGTCCCTTCATTTTAACAATTTAAATTCCCCTTTACCCAAGGATGCTTTGTACCAAGTTTGGTCAAAATTGGCCCAGTGGTTCTTGAGAAGAAGTCGAAAATATGAAAAGTTTACAGACGGACAGACAGACGGACAGACGGACGGACAGACGGACGGACGACGGACAAAATGTGATCAGAAAAGCTCACTTGAGCCTTCGGCTCAGGTGAGCTAAAAAGTAAACAAAACGAACTTTTTCATAGCAAAACAAAACGAACTTTTTCATTTGTCATAGTCAAGTACATGTATATTTTTCCGGTGAAATTGTACTGAGGGCTTTGTTATCCAACTTCAATTATATACTGATAAATTATATTTGTGTGACCCGCCTCCCCATTTCTTGAAGCTTGTTTTTGATTTTTGGTACATAACGCTGTTTAGTTTGCAATAAACTTACACACCTTTGTATGAAATCCAACGCCTTGGCTTTACACTTTGATTAGGCTTTCTATGCTTTTTATCATAAATATAAAAAATATCAATTAATAGTGACAAAAATAATGTTGAATAAGAGTAGATCTACGTCCATTTTGTTGCTGCTCTAGTCAAAAGATAATATGCGATTTCTCCCCCATATTTGTGTTTTAGAAGTAAAAAGAAAATATTCCTCGAAAATGAAAATAAAAGCGAAGACCGTGGTATTCGCTACTTCAAAGGATTTTCACCTTCAGTTTGATGTAAATCATTTTTTTTCATACTAACCAGTGGATTTGTTATTATATTTACGACTACTTATTATGTTGTTAAGTATAAGCATTTACTGTATGAAGAAATATTATAATTATTGATGCGTCTTCACACTGCACTTATTTGCAAAATTCGGCAAATATTTATGACGTCAACTTTAGCGCTCGTTTTCTCGATAACGTCATAATGCACATAAGGGTGGTTTTCGCTTGATGGTCATCATATATAGTATTTCTGGATCGAGAGAATATTGTATATTGAAAATAAAAAGCTAGCGCGCAGCATCCTGTTTACGACACATGTTTGTTGATTATTTAGCACTTAATTTATATTCGGACGAACGAAGTGAGAATTATTTTTTTTGCATTACCTTCAGTGACTTGGCATACAGCACTCTTATGTCTTGTCTTTTGGCTTTACAGTTACATTGCGGACATTTTCCACCTTGACCTTTCAACCACTTCTCTATGCAGCTAAAATAAACCAAGTTGTCATTTCAATATTACAGAAATGATTAGAAAATGTATTTGCTAATAAATTTTACCATGATTATTGATAACACATGCAAAGTCACCTTTGTCCAAACAAGTGACCACATTTCAGAGATGCTAGTCTGTGAGATCCTGAAGTTGACCATTCTTCAAAGCAGATAGGGCAACACTAAAATATATGATTATGAACAATTATTTTTAGATTATTTTACCTCTTCCTTTTAAGACGAAATAAAATTCAATGGTATTGGTCTCTTATAAACACAAACATTTTACAGGTAAATAAATTTCTTAACTTGTATGGCTTTAAATAAAATGCAGGCATTTCATCTGAATCTAAAATACCTGAAAATTTCTACATTGTAAAAGAATTTTATGGGAGTTCTTCAAATAGTGATTTCTAAAAAGTGCATAATAATAACACTAAATTTTAACTTTGTAATCCTCTCACATTTCCATCTTCGGTGTCATCCTCTGGTCCACCTGTTGCTCCCCCTGGTTTTTCTGGAGTCGACATTACCCTCCTTCGTTTAGGAGTTCTGAAATCTGATGGAGAGCTGGTGGTTGCCTGTATTGATAGTACATTAGCTGCTGGGACAGGTGCCGTGGTTTGTTGGCCCTGGGCAGATTGCTGTACAGTGTCCTGGTCACCAGATGGTCCTGCTTGTTCTGGATTTTCCACTGATGGATGGTTTTCTTGGGATGAATTGGAATTTTCCTCCTCAGGGTTAGAAAGAATTTCCTAAAAATTTTAATTGTATATATGTTTGTTATTCAAAATATTTTATTCTTTTCCTCTTTTCATTTCTTTGACTTGCATTGATCTATTATTTGTTTTATATATGAGAGCTTTAGATTAGAACCTTGTTGAAGATTGACAGCAAAGATTTTATTTCTAATTAAAAATATATCTCCTAAATAAAAGAAAATAATTGACATTTTGTAGAATATTATAAAATCTCTTTATATGCAGGCATAGGTGATGATACCACATCTTGGTATGACGATCTTGAATCTTCCTCTTCACTAGATATAACTTCAGGTGATCTGTCCCCAGTATTGTCCACATTTTCCTCTCCAGGAACCTAAATCAATAGACATTATTTTCATTTAGTTACCAACTCTTCACTTCAGACATATTTATAGAGCATTTAATTTTATCTTTTGAAGTAAACTTTGAAGTTTTTCATTGTATTTAAATACATCATCCCTTCAATCTGTTCTAGTGTTCTATATGTGTACAGGAGTTCGCAATTTTATCAATAAAGTCAATAGAAATCACTCGATTGACCAAGCCATGCCGGATGAGCTATGCGTGAGCTATTGCGAACTCCTGTGGTACATGACGTAACTAATTACCTACAAGCAACTTACCACTGGCCTTACTACTGCCCTTGGCACACCTGATTCTTCAGGTATGCTGAACACAGGTAAAGGAGGAGCAGAGCTTAGATTAACCGAGGGTCTGTTATCACCCCCTCCACTCTGTCGCCTCCCGATGAAGAAACCCTCCAATGTCTGTTGATTTCTTGAGCTAGAAGGGGATGTCGGGGATCTCCGATTCTGTTGTGATACCCCGCCTCGAATAGGTGAACTTTGAACCGAGTCCATCGGGATCTGGGGAAGTATTGATGTGTTGGAATCTGTGGACATATCTTGATCGCTTCCATCGCTGGCAGCAAACATGGAGGGGCTTTATGATGGTTCCTTTGCGTTCACAAATACATCACTGTCCCATTAGTTCACGTTTTATATTTGTATTTGACCTACCTCTTGTGTTACATTCTTTTAGATACAGATGTAAACTTTTTTTAAGTTACTCGAATACTGCTAAAACAGCACTTGCTTTTTCATGTAATTTTGCTATTTTGATATCGTAAAATAACAATTTCTCGAACAAGATTTCATAATGTCAAATTTTGCGCCAACTTGGGCATCCATCTTGAATTCGGTAAAACTAGATATATGAAAACCCGGCACGTAAGAGTTTATTTTGTTAACAAGTGTATGGATGATGTCGGTATATTCCTAAGATATTAATTTAGATATGTCTTACGGACGAAACTTGATGATCTTAAGAGTTCTTAAGAAGGACATAGAATGATAGTTCTTTTGGGAATGTTCAAACTAGGACTGATTTAAAATATTTAAAATAGCTCAGTCTTATTTTTTAATATAAACACGCATTTTAAAGATTCATAATAACACATACAAATTCAATCAGAAATAAATATTCATGTAATTAAAAATTAATGACTGATAAAAAAAATACTTTATCGATTAACCCCCCCCCCCCAAGCTATCTCTGATGAAGAACTTTTGAAAAACATTATCCACAAAGTTAATGATTAACTATTAACACATGATTAAAGCCAGTAAGGATCATATTAGTAAAATGAAAAGATAAAATTGTAAAAGACGTAATAACGACTGAGTTAAAAGTCGTTTCGGAAGTCGTAAATTGTAAAGTGACTAAAGTCCAGAAAGTCAATACATGTATTGTCACTAATGAGAGTCATTATATATTTACTTTGAATAATGACTTTTCATCGAAAAATACTTTTTTTTTTGGGCAAAGTTAAATCTAATTTGACAATTTCGAGGCAGGGTCTTTCATTTCAATTCATTTTACTTCTATAACCCTTGACTTTACATCACATACTCATAAAATAATTATTTGAAAAATACCACTTGTAAGTGCTCGTGGACAGGATAATCCCTACCCTTCAATGTTTGTAATGGAAAGTTACATAAATTTGTCAATCATATGCAAATTCCCCAGTTGCATATTAAACTACTGCTTGGAAACCATCGCGCGTCGTTCATCTTTTCACATTGAACTATGGTAACTCTGCTAGTACTTTCCTGCTTTTACCACATTCTCAAGTGGATGCCGAGTCCGATCAAATTAAATGAGGATGTTTTATATAAAATATCTTTAACATTCATAATACAATTTGACTGTGTTTGAAGAAAGGAATTACACAAAAAAACAAACTTTTAATGCATTTTACATGTTTTATATTTTAATTCATAATGATGAAATAGGCATTTAAAGCAAAACATTACAATTTAAAAATAACTTATCATGCTTATAAAACCAACATGCTCAAGTCACTAAACACAGTTAAAATTGTGTCAGATCAAGTAAATAATGGTGGCTGGGTGATTCTACAATCCCTGTCTTCATTTCTAGCGTGCTCCTTCAACATGTCCATTATTTCACTTTGATATTCCTCTGGTGTGGGCTTATTTCCCGTTGCCCAGTAATAAATTTCCCAGTCATTACTTGGTTTGTTAATAAGTTTGTCGTATAACTCAACCTGGTGCTCTGTCATATCCCTTAAATATTTCGAAGCAAATGTACTTAAAAGAAGACCATTTTCAAGCATTCCTCTCTTTCTGCTCTGGTAGAGTAGTCGAGCTTTCCTCACTTCAATGTTTTCTCCATGTCGCTCTGCGTATTCCGGAACAGGTATAAATTCCGGCTGATCACTGTTTCCAGACGCTGAACTTGAATATCTTGGAAAGTTTCTGAAGCATCTTACGACAGACAGGTAATCTTAGGAGTCGAGGTAGATTCGACATTTCTATGTCTCTGGTACAACAAAGTTACGCAACCAACTTACGAAAGACAAATCCGAGGAGTTCCGAAAATTTTAACGGGCTTGGTTTTCTCTTTTATCATGCATCTCACAGTTTCCTATTTGATTTCTGAAGAAAAAAAATATTGAAAATGGACTAATATTTCAACATTTAGCAAATTTCAATGTATATTGTATGGACATGTAAGTTTTAAAAATAAAAAAGCTCTCAGGGTCGTAAATATGTAGCTTTACTTTTAACGATAGAACATTCTATCTAATAAAATAACACATTGTTACAGTAAGAATGAATTTATGTACATGTATATACAAATCAAATATTTTTTTATCTTTGAATTATAATTGTTTATTAATCTGTTAAACAATGCATGTATTTCATCTTTCTTCTCGGAAGATTTGCTTAATCTACGAGTCAATATGATGGATGTATGATGGGTTACAAAATGGCCTAAATGTTTTGCCATTGAAGAAGACAGAATTATATAATTATGTCTGATGAGAGAAATTTTCGGACTTACTATTATGATAAATTTGGAATTGGTGGAGTGGAGGAGAGAAAATCATTAGAGACTCTTCTAAAGGAAAAACCAATAAGTGTGGAAAAGCTAAGACAGTTTTGTCTGAGATTTGCAATGCCAGCAATGTACAGACATTATGTTTGGAAATTAGTTTTAGGTGAGTTCTTTTAGTAAGCTTGAATTACAAAAATTGATACCTTATAGATAATAATAGCTGTTATGATTTATGAATACATGTATATATATCAGAAAATATGTCAACAAGATACTGTATAGGTGAATAATTTCACGGGTTGTTATTTTCACGATTTTCTCTCATCTGACATGATCGCGGTTTCTTGAATTCGCGGAATTGATATATATAATAAAAGTTACCTCCCTTGTCTATATCCAGATTATCCATACCATAGCTAAATGTAAACGACATTAATCAGCGTTATGTCTTTATTTCACGATCAACAGGGTAGGTTTATATAAAATATTTAGATTTAATTAAAACAAATGCAGTTATTAAAGTTCTTCACTCTAAACGTCATATGACTTTCCTATAGATGCTCTTACGATGAGTGCATGTGCACCCAAGATCTTCAATACAAATACGCGGCGAAAAACCACTGGACGGAAATGAATATGTTTATGTAGTTTGACGAAATAATATCTTTCAACATCTTCAGTAAGTTCGATATTTATTTGAACGATTTTTTAAAACCAAAATGTCGATAAAAAAAACAATATGCATGATAATGCAGGTAACAAATACACGTGGTAACATTAGTAACGCACGGGTAATCAAAACCCATGGCCCACGTGTTTTGATTGATAAAACATGTCGTGTTGGCTATCAAAACAGCTTTTGAACAAACACAGGTTATTATCTGCTGATATGAATTAAAGTAAAGCGTGATAATTAAAATAATTGAATGACAAGTACTACTCGTAATTACTGAAATGGCCATGTAAGTTGCATGTAAATGCATATCAATCTATCATATTCTATTCTCAAATTTCCAGATAAAACATGGAGATTATTGAAATTTTATTCACTGTTTCTTGAATTCACGGATTTATTAACACCGTGAATATAGCGAATATTAACACCGCGAGTTATTTTCCCCCTATACAGTAGTGATCTTGTTGAATTGTCATCAGTATAATGTTAACAGTGCAATACTGAATAGCTTCTTAGACCTTTTGTCTTCTTCCTATTTCAGATGTTTTGTGTGCAAATTCAGACTCTCATGAATTTCTGATGCAGCAACGGAAACAAAAATACAATGACTTAAATCACGCTGTAAAGCTGTTACGATATGTTGATGAAAACACACCTGTAGGTAAAGTCTTCCTCAAAATGTACCTTGTGGAGTCTGGCCAGATTAAATTTGAGCAGTACAAGGTATATTATTATTGAACAGTTATTTATTACTCAATCAGGGTTCTCCCTTAGAATAGAAATAGCAGGGGGCATTGGGGATTCCTCCCTAAACGGGGGGATGAGGGGGAATACCTTGGGGGTAGGGGGTTATCTCATCAAAGGCAGGAAAATTTCCAGGCTCCTAGGTCTTGAGGACAACCCCTCTCTATGTACTTGTACATTGGTGCCTTCTTAATCTGGATTACAGGCCTTTAGATAGCTGACAAAAAAATAGGTACGTGTTAAAAAATCTTTTTCATACACCCATTTTTTTAAAAGTCTGATTTAAGAGATCCAAAGGCCTGTGATCTGGAAGCATTTTTTTTTATCCAAAAGGTCTCTTTAAGTTATCTGGATATTTCGTTAATAAGATTTACACGCATGCAAAATAACAATGTTTCAATATACACAATGTACATGCAGTTAATCGAATTTGTATAAGAATAATTTATTGTACAGTTACAGTTTGCAGACCTCCAATATATGAAATATACATTTTTTTTTTACACATTCGCTCGAGGTGGATTTTTTTTTTTTTTTAAAGAAGAACAGGACTTTTTATTCTATTTTGAAATTTTAATAAGATTTTCACTTTTGTACTACATTCTTAATGATTGATATGCTTTTTATTCAGTATGATTCAGAGTATGAGGATTTTGTTTCAATAGCAGCAACAATGGCAAATATTTGTGAAGATCTAACTGATGCCTACCTTATTTCTGTTGAATTTTACAAAATGTACAAGAAATCCAAAGATAGTAATTCCAATCTGGTAAGTTTTTCCACCACTTACATTATTATCGGGTATGTTTGAATAAACATGTATACTGGAATACTGCAAGTCACATTTTATTGCATGTAAATTTAAATACCTGTATAGATTAATGTGAACTTAATAAAAATGATTTTATTCAGTTTATCTATTAAAAAAATTGTTTAAATTTTCTAAAAGGTCCAGAAAACAACGCAGAGCCTCAAAACTGAGGATGGAGATGGTAAATTGTTTGACCATTTTCAGAAGCACTCCCTTTGGGATTCTCTCCCCTTACCAATGTGGTTTGACAGCTGTTTTGCTGAGGTTCTACCTGAAACATGCCTTGAAAGGTAATAAAAACCATTAATGACAGTCGCATCTGCTTAATTTCTTAACAAAAAATGACTTAAATGTATATAATAAATGTATGACTATTATATGTATTGTTATCACTTAGTAAAGGGTGCTTTCATATCTGACTTTTTCTGGGTCCTTGTACCTCACACAAGGACAGTGTATGGTTTTAAAGCATGTAACTAATTTTAAATTCCTAGTTCAGTCAGAGCGTTTCTTCAGCATTGAGATGTTTTTTTCAAGTTATATTGTCAAAATTTGTACATGTATTTTCCTTTGAAAATGTCAAATCAAATGCTGGCAAAATTAATAAAAAAAAAATGTATTAGTCAATTTTAAAAATTCAAATTGCAAATGAAAGTCAAAGAATTGTAAATTGTACTAGAAAATTGTTGAAAAGTTTTGTAAATGTATTTTGGACCACTCAGATATCTTCATTTGAGAAAAAAAAATTATGAAACAAAATTTGAACCACAAAGCAGAAAATAATATATTAATCCCCTGGCAAAGAGCATACATGTATCTATAAATCAAGGCAACATTTGACTTCGATCCTGATGCAAAATGACTATTATGTCATTTCCATTTCACACAGGTCAAACTAAAATAAACAAAAACTAAAACACCCAAGCCTGTTACTTTGTTCCTTCCAACTCCATTCCAAGGGGATAAAAATGGAATCCACACTGTAATATAGGGAAAAATTGAACCTTCATTTTCAGTAATGTACTTGATTATATTTAGCTCTTCTGAGCCCAAGGCTCAAAGAGCTAATGCTATGGCCATTTGTGTGGTGTGCGGTGTGCGTAAACTTTTTAGAATATGGGCCATAACTCAAGACCCCTTGGCCAATCAGTACCAAATTTGCCACAGGGTATCCTTGGCCCAAGGGCTACCATTTACACTAAAATAAGGGTTGGGACCCTTAAACAAGGGGAGATAATCAGGAAAACAAAACCAAAAGTACTGGTTGCTAAAAAATCTTCTCCATAACCACCAGGCAGATTTTCACCAAACTTACATACAAGGATCAAGATATGTCGAAGATTAAAATTTGCACGGGGAATTACCCTGGGGCAAAGGGCGTGGTCTCATGGTCACTTCAAAGTTGACCTAAATTTACAATTAATAAAAACGTGTATATTTTGCTTACTATAAGGACTAGGATCATCAATTCTTGTAAGTTGATGCATCTTACGACTTCACATCATGTTAACTCAAAAGTAGGTCACGGGGACCTTCTTTTTAAATTTGGGGGGATTTGTTTTCAAATTGATTTGAAGGCATATTTTGGACACTTTAAGGCCTATGATCATCAAACTTTGTCACTTGATGCATCTTGGGCCCTCAAACAATGTCAACTTAAAAGTAAGTCACCGTGTCCTACTTTTTGAACTCTATGACTTATCCTTTTAAAAACATTAAATCCCATTATTTCAGACACTGGGAGGTTTAGAATCATCAAATCTTGTACTTTGATGCATCTTGGAACCTTAAAACATATTTATGAAAAAGTAGGTCACTGTGACCTACTTTTTGAATTTTGCCGACATTTGTTTTCAAATGGTTTAAAACGCATATTTTGATTACCTTCAGACCTACGATCATCAAACTTGGTCAGTAGATGCATCTTGGGTCTTTGAAAATTGTCGACCAAAATGTAGGTCACGATGACCTTCTTTCAACATTTTATGGCTATATTTAAGTATCTTAGGTATTTATTGGCTTAGAATCATCAAACTTTGTGAGTCCATGCATATTTGGTTTTTCGGAGAATGACGACCTAAAAGTAGTCACGGTGACCTACTTTTGACATTTTATGGCTTTATTTAAGTATCTCCGGTACTTATTGGCTTAGAATCATCAAACTTTGTGAGTTGATGCATCTTGGGTTTTCGGAGAGTGACGACCAAAAGGTAGGTCATGGTGACCTACTTTTGAATTTTGTGACTATAATTAAGTATCTCAGGCACTTATTGGCTAAGAATCAGCAAACTTTTCAGTTGAGGCATCTTGGGTTTTCGGAGAATATCGACCAAACAATAGGTCCCAGTGACCTACTTTTGAATATCTCAGGTACGTATAAGCTTAGAATCAACAAACTTTGTCAGTTTAGGCACCTTGGGATTTCGGAGAACGTCGACCAAAAAGTAGGTCACTGTGACCTACTTTTGACATTTTATGGCTATATTTAATTATTTCAGGCTCTTATTGACTAAGAATCATCAAACTTTGTCAGTTGAGGCATCTTGGGTTTTCGGAGAATGTCAACCAAACAATAGGTCCCAGTGATCTAATTTTGAATATCTCAGGTACGTATAAGCTTAGAATCATCAAACTTTGTCAGTTTAGGCACCTTGGGTTTTCGGAGAACGTCGACCAAAAAGTAGGTCACTGTGACCTACTTTTGACATTTTATGGCTATATTTAATTATATCTGGTACTTATTGGCTTAGAATCATCAAATTTTGTCAGTTGAGGCATCTTAGGGTTTTCGGAGAATGTCGACCAAAAAGTAGGTCACAGTGACCTACTTTTGACATTTTATGGCTATATTTAAGTATCTCAGGCACTTATTGGCTAAGAATCATCACACTTTGTCAGTTGAGGCATCTTGGGTTTTCGGAGAATGTCGACCAAACAATAGGTCCCAGTGATCTAATTTTGAATATCTCAGGTACGTATAAGCTTAGAATCATCAAACTTTGTCAGTTTAGGCACCTTGGGTTTTCGGAGAACGTCGACCAAAAAGTAGGTCACTGTGACCTACTTTTGACATTTTATGGCTATATTTAATTATATCTGGTACTTATTGTCTCGGAATTATCAAACTTTGTCAGTTGAGGCATCTTAGGGTTTCATTGAATGTCCAACAAGAATTAGGTCACGGTGACCTAATTTTGAATATCTCAGGTACTTATTGGCTTAGAATCATCAAATTTTGTCAATTTAGGCATTATGGGTTTTTGAATAACGTCGACCAAAAAGTAGGTCACCGTGACCTACTTTTGACATTTGATGGCTATATTTAATTATCTCTGGTACTAATTGGCTTAGAATCGTCAAACTTTGTCAGATGATGCATTTTGGGTTTTCAGAGAATGTTGACCAAAAAGTAGGTCATGGTGACCTACTTTTGAATATCTAAGGTACTTATTTAATTAGAACCATCAGTCTTTGTCAATTAATGTATATTGAGTCCTCAGAAAATTTCAATCAAAAGGTAGGTCACTGTGACCTACTTATGGTATTTTATAATTATATTATAATATCTTCAGTCTTAACTGGCTAAATATTATCAAACTTTGTAAGTTGATGCATTTTGGGTCTTATGATTCTAATACAGTTGGAGGCTTCTAATAGATGTGATAGATTGTACAATTTATCAGAAGAGCGATTCAAGGCCCTTGGGCCTCTTGTTCAATTATCAGATAGTATATCCAAGAAATATTGTGAAAAGCCCATTTTTCCTCATCATAAGCATGACATATATAGCTGTTAAATGTAAGAATAGTATTAATATATTAATCATTAGATGGTTAATCTCTTTGCCAGAATCTGGGACAAGGTCATCGGAGGTGCCCACGGTATTGTGGTGTTTGTAGCGGTAGCTGTCTTTCTCACCTTCAAGCGACCACTTCTGAGCATGAAAAGTAAAACAGATATGATTCAATATCTAATGGAGGTTAGTTCTACTTTATTAATTAAAGCTGTTCCCCATTTAAACTAACCACTTTGTATAAGGACCCAAAGCTAGTTTGTCTGGAATTTTTATGAAAATCAGCCTATTTACATGCATTTAGTGTAAGATTTTTTCTATCCATTTTCTCCCTCAGCATTCCTCTGATATAATTCCTTCTAACTCGAGTGTTATTCATGTTCCCTGAAGTTGTCCATTTACTTGAGAATATTAGAAATTAATTAAACTCTGAAAAATTTGAAGGTGGAAGGCAATAGAAATTTAAAGAAACAAGGTTTTTCAAGGATGAAAGAGAAGAGTTGAAAAACAGCTAGTATCATCTTTAATGTTAAAATGAAAATGAAAAAAAAAATTACAAACAGGAAAAAATAATTCAAGCTGTTTCTCTATATTTATGTGTGTTAAGTTACTAGTAACTGTTTGGAAAATAAAAGGTTCTGTAGAATAAATAGAAACCATGCATGCATTAAAATTTAGATTGTTTCCCAGACTTAGAAATACATATAGGTTGTTAAATAAATATTTCCTTTCCTGGCCAATTACATGTAATAAACAGTGTAGATAATTGCATACAAATGTACATGTACATACCAGTAATTAATGAGCATGGATAGAGATGCAAGTTTTAAGTAACTGACTGAGTGTAATATTTTTCAGCTCCCAGAAGATTGTGGGGATATTATTGTGACAATGGCTATAGACCTGTGGAACAAACAACACTCATAAAGAGGAGAGAAATCAGAGAGAGAGAACTCACAGATGACAAGGACGGGATGCCATAGAGTCATTATTGTAAAATCAACATTGCAAAGTGCAGTGTTCAACTTTGTTAAGTACACAGCTCATAGAGATAAAGTAACTGAAAAATGGAGAACACAATATCTGTTGAATAATTGAATTACTGATAAAATTTTCAGAAGAAGTGATATATGTATATTAATCTAGTTTACATTAAAAATTTTCCTGTTAGATAAGCATGAAGATTAAAACAAGTATTAATATTGAAATACTCAAACCACTGCGTTTGATTTGATTGTCAATTTCTCTAATGTGTAAGGAAATTATTTGAGAGTTTTGTGGTATACAGTTACAAAGTCTGATAGCATCAAATAAAAAACATGTTAGAATTCGCTTAATATAAAAAGAATATATTTGGAATAGAATTGAATATCATGAAGTAGGAAAAATATCCATACGATGGTATTTTCATTTTAAGAAATTAAATCTTATTTTAATCCTTGCTTGTCTTTACATAAACAACTGTTAAAAGTTAAGTTTTCCGAAATAAAAATAGTGAAAATCTAATAGATTTCTGATTTTATTTGTGATTTGTAAACACATTGCACAGATTTCTATTATGTGCTGAAAAGTGTTGAAACAAACAAATATTTATGACCTTGACCTTTCGAACTCAAATTTATAGGGGTTTTTCTTAGGTAATACGGAGTTGTGTGAAATTCAATTACAAAAGCTCGAAAACTCAAGATATCACGCGGAAACGAACGTGCTACAGACGGACTGAAATACAGACGGACGGACAGACAGACCTAGCTGCAATAATGTAGCCCTTTACCCCGCTTTGTTTTTTTTTTTGGGGGGGGGGGGGAGGCTCTCCAGAAAACATCAGTTTAAAAAATCGGAGAGGGTTACATTATTGCAGGCAAGACAGACCGAAATAATATCCCCCAATTTCAGTAAAGCGGGGGGACAATAAACATTTGATCTTATTTATCTTATTGGAATTCCAACATATTCTTGGAAGACTTGGTTTCCGAAAACTCCACTTTGTCAATCAAAAATGTTGTAAAGGACTTCAAATTCAGTTTAATTAAAAATTAATTTCTTTATTGGGTGATTTTTATCATATTACGCAAAAAATACATTCATTGTTTTAAATTTTTAAATTTCTTGCGTGATCCTATATGGAGAACAATCACATCAATGGACCATTGCAGCATTTTATATTTTCAGACAGTCGCACAATTCGTAATATTCAAGAATTCGTTTGAAAAAGATCCACCCAAGCGTGCACCTATTACACAACTTGTTCTACATGTTATCAATGGTTTTACAGATCTCGATCTCGATTCGATAAATTTGTTCCAAGGAAGTAAAACCCGACAAGGAATACTGTCAGTAATGTACAGATATGTCGACCAGTGCTAGTAATTCACAATTTCTCGTGGACAAAGTTGAATATTCGCCCAAATCTTTTTACGAAAGTTTCAGTAATCACTTGCCCAGGTTGGTTCAGGTCACACGGGGTTACTATGGGGAGGAACAGGTGCAAACCTATGAACGAGGACAGGTGAGATTTTCCCAGGAAGTACTTTTTTTACGTTGTCAATGTGCAATGTACGTTGATAATGCGTTTTAACTATTATTTTTTATCAGTGCATATTGGGTAGATTTGATATCTGTAGTATCAAAGGTGCATGGACACAGATTTGGAGTTAAAATTTTCTGTATAATATCACGACTTATATATTTTAATAGCATTTTACACAAAAATATATTATTCTCATTTCATCTAAAAGTAATTGAAACTTGAAAATTTTAGATAGGTTTGAAAGTGATTACGGTTTGATTGACACATCCTTACACTTATTGTAAATTTAATTCTTAATACAGTACTTAGGAAAATTGGCAATGTTGTTGTGTATTAATGGAAATTAATAAGACTTCAATCCAGAAAAATAATTATATTCAGAGTAGAAATGTTAGAAAGCAAAACCCTTTTGAAAGTATCGCCATTCCGCGCTTAGTGTTGTGTACAGAGTTTAGCAAATTGAACACACCCGTGAAACGTACACAGTTTTTTTTAAACAGGGCACGAGCTCTGTTATTGTTGATGTTTACGATTCACCGGGAGCGTTCAATTGTTAAAGTCTGCTCACCAAAACTGCAATGAACTGACAATATACTGTGTGTGTGTTTTGCTTTCGAACATTTCTACTCTGAATTTTCTGGATTAAAGTGTTAATATTTTTCATTTATACACAACAAGATTGCACTTTTCCTAAGTATTAAGAATAGAATTAAAATTTGTGAAAGTGCAAGGACGTGTCATTCGAACCCGTCTAAAAATTTGAAGTTTTGATAACTTTTAGATGAAATAAGATTTTTAATATATTTTTGTGTGAAATGCTATTAAAATGTATAGGTCGTAATATACAGAAAATATTAACTTCAAATCTGTGTCCATGCACCTTTAACCCTTAAAGTTAAGAATTGTCTTAACATTGATTTTGATTTTTTTTTTGTATTCATTATCCATAATGCACACCGCACGTATACTGCAAAATTATGAAATAATCGTGTTCACAGTGAAAGTTAATAACCTTTCTATTTACCTTAAATGGAAATTGTGTTGTATGTTGTGTCGGTCATCATTTAAGTAGACACTTAATATACCTCCGGAATAATTCTTTAACCCATAGTAATTATAATATTGTTGATTAATAATTTATTCCAGAATCAAGTGCCTGCGGATCACTGGGATATATTGATAATTCAGTAGTAAAAATTGCTCTATCATTTTTTTAAATTTGTATTGCCATGCTGTTGCATTATAATTTAAAAGAGTCTTAGTTCGATCTAGAAAATAGAGAACTTTGTTGTTAAGTAACATTAAAAAAAATGTTTTCATATACATGTATAATTTTACCGGTATAATTTTCAGTTTTGAAAGCAGGAAAATATGCCTCGTAATTGAAAGCATTTTAAAACTGTAATACGATATTTTTATCATTTTTCAACTTCATGCATTCATTTATTTGTAATAAAACGCACTAAAATTAACAAACTTTACATGTACATTTCCTCATTTTAAATAGCAGTGCTTTATAAATGTTATATTACTTCTCATTGGTTGTAGTTCACGATAATATGAACCATTTCATAATAAGATCTGAGAACTCACGTTACGAAAGTTGACATATACCGTAAGTGCATGGCAATGATGGAGCAAGAGTGACGTGCTTGATAGTGCCCACCGGTAATCTCTCTCTCTCTCTCTCTCTCTCTCTCGAGAGAGAGAGAGAGAGAGAGAGAGAGAGAGAGAGTGAGTGAGAGTTTTCGAAGTGTTTGCAAACATTGCAGCAGGCAAACATATTTCCCTTCAGCGTATCATGTAATTTCTAAAATCAATATTAGTTATATACATGTAATTATAGAACGAAATAAGAGTATTTATAAAATGGTTTGAATTATTTCAAAAGATTGCATGGATGAATTTGCAAAAAATGTCATAAAAAGGTGCATAAAAAAATTAAGGTTTGGGGTCTAAATATATTGTAAATAAAGTCCCTTTATGTCCTTATCCGCATTTAATTGTTCAAAAACATTCTGGAAACCCTCTTTATTTTGATTTTCATTTAGGAGATAAAAAAGACAATGGAGATTTGGGGTTTGAAAAATAGTCTTTCAAAGGTACTTCATAGAACCCATCTCTCTATAATGAACAATTTTTAACACAATGCTAATACTAGTACTGCTTGATTTGTTTTCAGAAGAAATAATCTACTAGCTTGATTGTCCCTTCATAAGTTGAAGGAATTTAAAATAGGTCCTGAAAGTTATTTCTCTGTTACACTAAATGTTAACGTGTATTGTTTCTGAATATGATAATTATTAAAATATATACCTAAGTCACGTGCATACATGCATAAGTAGTTCTGATAATTTGTCACATAGGCGTCGGAAGCAAATTAAAAGGGGGGGCTAATTGAAAGGGGGGGGGGCTAAACCAACAAAAAAGGCCCCAATTTTCAATACATGTACATAGAAAATGTATATCTTTGCCAAAAAAAAAAAAAGTGGGGGGGGGCCCAACCCCCTCGGTTCCGACGCCTATGTGTCAAATAAAGTCACTGTCGCAAAATCACGGCAAAATTTACGATCCCCTCGTTAGAGAGAGCCATAAGTGACCCAAAACCAAGGCTAGAGACGATGCAGACAAGTAATTCGTCGGATTTCTTCAGACCAGATCTGACTTTTGAAATTACTTAAAAAAGTAAAGAGGCAATTAATGCACATGCGGTATTTTTTTCTACATAGATTAAGATTAAAAAAAAAAAACACGTCTAAATCAATTGTGGCCAAAAATTAGAAAATTTCCTTTAATATCCAACATCTGACTAAACCCTGTCATCTGTTCTAAACAACTGTTGCAGATAAACATAAAAACACACTGACTGTGGGCAAAAGGTTAATAATAAGATATGGGGATGGGGATAACGAACAGTATTCAAGCTCAAAAGCCCATTAAACAATACCAAATAAGAGCAAACACCGATCTCTAAAACATCAGGAGTGGGATCAGGTGCCATGGAAGAGTGAGCATCCCCTGTCGACTGGTCACACCCGCCATTTGCTCCACTGCTCCTTATCATGTTCGGGAAAATAAGGAAAAATATGTAGGCAATTCTGCACTGAATAAAAATAACTATCAAAATTCTCTAAGAAGAGTCGTAAAATTTATGTCCACACAATCACTTAAAAGTAATTTTACTAGATAGATTTCCTAGATGACATTAGTAAATCTAGAATTTATAAGTAACCTTTACTAGGTTAGAAGGTATCTATATGACCCCAGCTCCACGTGACACCTATAACTCACTATCTTAGCCAGTAGACAGAGTGATTACAAATCTCGCCGAACGCTCTGCTAGACTTACTTTTTAAATTATCTAGGTATTTTTTTCAGTGAGTGTGTAAATAATGACATAACAATCAATATGAAAAAGGTCAGCCAGCATTTGACTTAATGAAAAATTGTATTTGCTGACAAGGTCATTATATCGACCATAAATTTTAAGAAATGATGACCTGAGAAATGAGACTGCTAATATGCTTGCTTCATCAACTTGTTTGACAATAACTTACCTCGTTTTAGAAATTGCTCATACGCAGAACAAGCTTTTCCGTATCGAAGCAACTTAGAGATATAAACCCCATGTGCAGATGACAAGGGTGTATTGCCGCATATGTACTAGAAGTTGAGGAGTGAAAGTTAATTATAAAAGTAATCACGTTTATCATACAGCTTTGTTGTAAGATAACCTTTAACTTCTTTTTCTAGTAAAATATTCAAATATGAAACAAATTTGTCGATCAGCCTTTGTGGTACCTTTTATTTAAGCGCACCTGGATATATCTTGTCGACATAAGAATAGAAATTACCATTGTTAATTGCCAATACGTCGACTATATATCAGGTCTCTATTTTGAGTTGAAGGTCACAGCAAGTATTTTATTCTTTTAACATAAATGATTGTAAATGAATTCTGCTTCGTGTGAATTCAAAAAAAGGTCTGCTTTTAACGGGGAGAAATTGGTACCCATGGGAATTCCAATAGATTGTTGGAAGACCTTGTCTAATCTATTACGCTTGTAGAGTACTATGACATCCTACTATGACGAGTAGGATTTCTCCCATAGCCAGCTTTCTCCCCATCCTACTCCTCCCGAGGGGAAATCTCACACCAGAGCCAAATTTATCCCCTCTTTCTTTCTCATAGTAGAATTTCCCCCTTCTTATAGAGTCAATATAAACCATTCTTGTTTAAAATTAACGACAAACTGATTTTTAAAAAGTAAATGAGTTTTTTTCTTACTTATGTAGTAAAAATTTTCTAAGGATAAATTTCAAATCATGGAGTCTCAACCCAAATGTTTATTTATTATTCTTTTTTTTAACAAATGCACATGTAAATATCCTCATCAGATTCGATGTTTTAACAAAAATTAGTCCAATATCTTCCTTCGTTTAGTAAAAATAAACATTGCCAAAAATCCTTAAAAATTGAAAAGCTCGTTATTCCTTTTAAAAAACAAGATGTGTTTGTGAAACACTGATGCCCCCGTATGGCAACATAGTGAAGATTAAACTTTTCTTAGATGCAATTTAATATATTGGTACTCAAAGTAGGGTCTCCTTACTGGAAATACAATAGTAAAACATGAAAGCCCTATCACCATCTGTTCCCAAGTTATGGACAGGCTAAAGTTTTTTTTTTTTTCATAAGTACAGAAATCTTCAAGATCAAGGTCAGAAGGTCAAGGTTCTTGGTATCCAATGAAAGGTCTTTCCACAAAGATCACATGTTTGAATTATGGAAGCCCTAGACCTTAAACCATTCAAAAGTTATGGCCAAGGTTAAAAAGATTTTAATAGTACGTTAAACTCGAAGATCAAGTTCAGAAGGTCAAGGTTATTGGTATTGAATGAAATGTCTTGTCTGAAGAATTACACACATATGAAGTATGAAAGCCCTAGCCCTTACTCTTCAAAAGTTATTGCCTAGGTTAATGTTTTTTCATAAGTCTTGAAATCTCAAAGGTCAAGGTCAAAGGGTCAAGGTTATTGGTATCCAATAAATGCATCTTGCTACAAAGAATACATATGTGAAGTATGGAGGCTCCATCCCTAACCTTTCAAAAGTTATGACCAAGGTTAAGATTTTTAAAAGTAAGTCAAACTCTAAGGACAGGGTCAAGGGTCATAGGTCTTGATATCAAATGAAAAGTCTTATCACAAGCATTAAATATATAAAGTATGAAATCACTAGCTTTTACCCTGAAAAAGATATGGTCAAGGTTTATTTTTTAAAAGTAGGTCAAACTCCAAGGTCAAAGGGTCAAAGCTCTTGGTATCCACTGAAGCGTCTTTTTACAAGGATTACATATTTGAAGTATGAAAGCTCTAGCCCTTACCGTTGAAAAGTTATTGCCATGGTTAAAGTTTTTTCATAAGTACGTAAATCTCCAAGGTCAAGGTCAAAAGTTCAAGGTTGGTGGTATCCAGTAAAAGGTCTTGCCACAAAGAATATATATGTGAAGTCTAAATGTCCTGGTATCTACTGTTCAAAAGTTATGAGCAAAGTAATAATTTGAATTTTTTTGTTAAAAGTGGGTCAAATTCCAATGTCAAAAGGTCAAATTTGGTGGTACCCAAAGAAAGGTCTTGTCACAAGGAATACACATGTGAAATATGAAATTCACAGCTCCACTAAATCAAAAGTTATGGACAAGGTTAAAGTTTTTCGGAAAAACAAACAAACAGAGAGACAGACAGACAGAAAGACAGACAGACAGACGGACACGATAAAAACTATATACCTCCGAAACTTCGTTTACGGGGGCATTTTACGGGGGCATAATTATTGAAGCGGAATAAAATGCACATTCGATTTTTAACTCATCAAGATACACCCCATACCAAAAATCAGCTCAATATCTTCAAACATTTAGGAAAAAAGTGCAGAAAACCACTTGAGACAGACAGAAGGACAGCTAGACAGAAAGACGGACGCACAGACGAAGAGTAGACCTACATGTATAGTCCCCCTGGTTTCATCGATTTATTTGATCTAAAAAAATGGTTTGACAAGTTGCTGGGGAAAATGAAATTTAAAAATTTTCATTTTTCATTCTTCGTAAACGTATGTTCAATACATCTGCTCACCATTTTAAAGAAGGGACGCTATCTTGTAACAATGCACCACCCCCTCCTCTCAAAAACCTAAGCAGCAATTATACTGTATTTATTGGGGGGGGGGATTGGCTCTGGGAGAAATCGCACTCTATAACTACTACAGAGAGTAGGATTCCCCCCGCAAAATTGACTCTGGTGTGGGATTTCCGTAGGGGAAATCCTACTCTAGAGCCAGTTTTTCTGTGGGGGGGGATCCTACTCTAGAGCCAGTTTTCCGGGGGAAAGATTTTAGTGGGAATGCCTACTCTACAAGACCGGTTCATAAAAGTAAGCTTTTTTGAAGATGCAGAATTACTAGTATCTTGATACAATAAGGACACAATTGCTTTTATCCAAGAAGGGTCATTATCTAGTCTTGACAAGGTTCTGATTTAATTAGACTGTGTTGATTTCAGAAACTGTTCATACGAAGGTTCGGTTCCCAAGAGAGGGTTGTGGCTACCGTACTGAACGGGCCCCGGTCTCTGATCCACAAAAAGATCAGCATACCAGTGGAATACAACGCTACCTTCTGTTTAATTTCTAATAAGAAAGGTAAAATTGAACTACCTTTTTGAAAAAAAAATTTAGGACGATTTTACCCTTACTTTGGACTTTCAGTAGGGCGTGCCTTTCTCTGCGCTTCGTAATGGCAAATACTAGTAGATTCTCATTTGTTACGAAATTAATAACATCAGGAACTTAAAATTGTTGTTGATAACGATGAGACGACTTATGCCCCACCCTCTGTGCCGTGAGAGAACTTTTAATTGGCTACTGTATTTACTACATCAGTTGACATTCGGCCGCATTTCTATCATATGTATATTTCAACAGTGAAGGGAAGCTGTGTAAATTTCAGAAGATAATTAGGTAACGTCGAGAATGCCGCGCCTTACTGAAAATCCAAGCTAGGCGTGTAATGGTCCTAAGTTCGTGTTATATTTCACAATTATTCAGATTTAACAGATTTAAAATTTGCAAATTTCGGAAAGTGAGGCAGGTCAAAATTTTACCCTGACAGTCCAAGGAATTGTGAGTATATAAAAAATGGGGAGTATCATATAAATATTTGATATTATCCATTACATACAAATCATACTGTTTATCAAGTCTTGACAGGTACTCAGTAATCGGTATATATAATTTATTTCAGGTGCCACATGTAAGAAATACAAACTGCATAGAGTACTTTCCAAGAATAACGATAAACTGCCCATTGACGTCCTTTTTATTCCGGATATGACATCAGAACCTCCTGGATCTAACTGGTTGACGAGCCCCACGGACCAACTGGTCCTGCGTCTGACTCGACGATACCGGGATACGTTTCTGCTTGGCCACGATTTATCAGGAGGTGCATTTAAGAATAATGGTGCACGATATAATTGCTCCAAATTTGTAGTCAAGCAATTTCTTTTTTTATAAAATCTAGTATTAGATTATTGACAAACAAGTTGATGAAACAAAGAATAATAGCAGTCTCGTTTAAAGTCATTATTTCGTAAGTTTTATGGTCGATACAATGACTTTGTAAGCAAATATTGTACAATTTAACATTGAGTGAAATGTTTTTCATACGAATTGTTTGGCCATTATTTACACACTGAATTGACAACGGATTTTTCCGTTATTTGCCGATCATGACAAGGAGCACACGGCAGGTGTGACCGGTGGGCAGGTGATGCTCACTCATCCATGGCACCTGACCCCACCTCTGATGTTTTGTTTGGAGGTCCGTGTTTGCTCTGCTCCTATTTTGCAATGTTTTATGGACTTTTGAGCTTGGATACTGTTCGTTATCTCCATATATTTTATTCTTGAAAAAATGTCGGAGCATACAAAGTTAGACCCAACCATGAGAAAAGTAACATAGTTAATTTCCCTTTTCAGACAGAGTAACCTCCATTATCCAGAAGCTTCCCGTGTACCTTACAGAAATGAGAATATCGTTAGTGGTGGGAAGAACGGGCTACGAAAAACAGGAATGGGACAATTATACCCACAACTTAAGTGAAATTTGTGACACACAAATAAATTGTGACAATTATTTTGGAAATCCGGGTATACTTGTTTGGTTAACTATATATAAATTTTCATGAAAACCTTACTTTTGTTTTTATAATTAAAAAAATTAAAAGAATTCAAAATAATTTAGATGTGTAATTTTGACTTATATAACAGTATCTAGCTATTTCAAATCAATACTTATACTTTAATTCGTCTAGACATTGCTCTTTATGACAACGACTCGGAGGACTTCGATGCAACAGTTCGGGTACCAAACGTATACTGTGCACTACATGACTGTCTCAGTGAAACCAATGTATACCAGACTCTTCATGGCTTAAAACCCGATTCCAGTCCAACCGAGGAAAAATGCAACACCTATGAAGTTATATCTAACTGTGTCAGAGAGAAAGAAATCAAGGTGCCACCTAAAATTCCTCCCAAACCCAACACAAAAAAATCTCTGCCAATTCCAAAAGAACAAACTGCTCAAAAACCGATTGCAGACGTCTCAAAAGATGACGTCAGACCTCTTGTTCCTCGACGAAGCGACACAGCGGCCAAGGGAAAGGTACAGCGACATATTTCTACTTCGACGAAAGCTAAAATCACCACTCCCTGTAATGTCAGCATTGATGAGAAGGATGGAACCACTCCGAAATCAGAAGAAACGCCAAAATTACACCCCAGAGATGGCGACTCTAGAGGAAAGAATGTCAGGGGCTATCCGCGTGTAAAAAATACAAGAGTAAATGTGAAGGGGATGAGTTTGAATGATGTGTGTGAATTGTTAAAAGAACTGGGACTAGAAAAGTATGCTCCCGTATTCAAGGAACAGTGGATAGATGGTGCAATATTAAGCGAACTTAGTACGGATATTTTACATCAGGAATGTGGTATGGGCAAAATTGAAGCTGTAAGGCTAATGTCGTTTGTTCAAAAAGGGCATATACCAAGATAGAAATATACTGAACTTATTGTACAGAAAAAATGTATTATTTTGAAAATCTATTCTTGAAAAGGTGAACAATTATGAGGAAGAGCTGGTTCTTCCTGGTAATACTAGTAAATTAGAATACGAGCACGAGTCAAACACATTATGTACAGTTTTCAAGGCCAATCAAAGGTTCCTGAAAATATTATTATGATATGTACTTTTAATATCAACCGCTTGACTTTCAATGCATGGTCATACATTCGATCTATTTTCCCCACTTCCGGTCCTGGTACGTATGTGGGCATGCAACACACTTTGAAAAATTAAGCACTTTGAAAATTTATTTCAAAGTGCGTTAAAATTGTCGCACAGACGGACATCCCGATCACAATACTAGTATACTTCCATGCTTTTCAAGCAATGATAACGTACTCTTCAAGAAAGAGACGCATAAAGTAGAATTTTATTGACACATTGCACATAAAGATTATTTAGTAAAATGCTGTTACTGTATTGATAATCACAGGTATACTCGTGGACAGCCCCCCCCCCCCCCATATACACCCAAGGTCAAAATAATTTTTGATGGTGGGAGGGGTATATGCAGGCACGTAGCATCGTTTCTAAAAGTAGGGGGGGCAGACAATTTTTTTTTACTTCTGACGTGCAAAAAAAAAATTGCCCAAACTCGAAAATCCTATATCGTGTGGGTAAAGGGGGGGGGGGGGGTTACAGGCCAACTTTTTTCAGATGCCGACTTCTTTCAGTACCAATTTCTTGCACACAATACTGCATTTCCCTTATATTACTTTACCGTAGTATTAACGGGGGGGGGGGGGGGCAACCATCTTTTAAATGGACAATATTTTCAATAGTAAATGTAATGTTGGGAAAAAAGTGTTGCTACGTGCCTGATATGGGGGTATCCTGTCCACAAGTACCTGTGATTTTGCCAAATGCTTACTCAATCCAGAAAATGTCAGATATAAAAATCGGAGAGGGCTACATTATTGCAGCTAGGTTTAAATCTGCCGATTTACATGTAGATAACTGGCAGAAACAGACTGCCGTTGCTTTGCAAGAATGTGATTATCAAAGTTTGAAACGAGCCGTAGGCGCATTTGCTGCAGGATGCTGTAATTGCATCTGAAATTTGCTTCCCATAACTGTTGAAATATTAGATACGCGAATGTCCAGTGGATGCTGCAAAATTGAAAAAGCATGTGCAGGTAGAACATTTTAGACCTAGAGTACCTTTTCCATCAAAGTCCTTTAAATATGAATATGTAATATCGTTTTTCATATCATTACACTACCACCACCAAATCTTTCAACGTCCCAGAGGCAGTTTTCTGCCTTAATACGTTCATTACGAAGCACTGTTAAACTTATGGCAGGGTTTACGATAAACATTCTGGACCAGTAGCCAAGCAAACATGTTTAGCGGTGTTGCTGTGGTCAAACTCTGTTGATCTGAAGTTGATTTCAAAAGAGAAAGCTTTAATTTCTCTCCGCACCCCATCCGCGCGACCTGGGCTCGAGGTTTGAGCTCTGTTTTTAACATCTCGACCATGAGATGGTTTTTGTAATGGTAAAACAATAGCATGAATAATGAATAGTCCTCTTGAAATAATTCCAGCATTCCGTAGTCAACTGCAGATGCTCTTGTTAGATGTTCTGTGCAGTTCAGGGATAGGTAATGCTGTAGATAATGTCATTGTGAAACATTGAAATTTACGTAATCCTTTGAAGCGATCTTGCGCTGTTGATATCACACGTGGTCTGTCATATTTTTGCGAACATTGGTTGTTCCTTGTTAAAGGTATGTTTTATGGGTTAGATATGGTGCTGTGCGTAACATAAACCTCTTGCAATTGTTGAATGTGGTACAAGGATTTTTAATTTTTAAGGACCATGACCAAAAGTGGATTTTCACCCACAACTTAGGGATCAAATCCTTCCTCCATGACTCTAGAGCTCTGACCACTGTGTCAAGCAGGTGACCTCTACTTGCCAGCTATACTGTCTGACTTATGGCCATTAATCAGTAAGGGATTTTTCCTTGGGGACAAATAAGTGGACAGGGGACTTCCTCCCAAGTATTGGTCCATCTGCATCCTGCAGTGGATTTTAATCCACAATGTAAGGATCATCTCTAACCATGTCACTGACCTTTGTGGGCAACCCTTTATATATATATCAAATTTAAGCAAAATAGTATATTACAGTTCCTTAATTCCTGGTGTGTAATATTATCAGTTTTGATTTTATAGTACATGTGTATTCACAAACAAAACATTTTCAAAATTTACTGTCAAATACATACATTTTTGATCAAAAATACAACCATTTCTTATGATTTTGAAATAAATTCCTACATCTTTTTTCTGTTTTTGTTTTGAAAGAAATAAGTTCTTTGCATCACATTGTATATCCAGTATATCCAGTTCCACTGGTCCCGTCATTCTGGATTTTTAACCATTAATTGTATAAGAGCAGACACCACATGGACATTCAGACTATTACCCAAAGTCCTATACAGCTGAATTCGAGATAAATCCTCAGGAAAGTCTACAATGGAAAAAAAATCAATCCTTTTATAAAACACAAATTTACATCATAATTCCAGCTACAGCTACTGGTATTTTGAGCCTTTTTTGAACTTTTAACTCATGTGAGCTAAAAATCTAGCATTTAAGTAAACACTAACAGATACTAGTAAACAAAGAGGAATCAATGACCCTGGTAATTAATTTGGCAAAAACTGTTTGTTATAACCATCATCAGCTTACCATAGGTGGATGGAAAGCATAGGAAGTTGGCAATCTCTCTAGGAGTGAAGTATCGCAGTTGTAACCGTGACAACACTTCATAATCCTCATCTGACCAATCATCTCTATTCTTCAGTTCTTGAGTTCTATCTTTTAATTCACTGGCTTTTTCCATATTCTAGTATATAAGAAATATTTTCATACTAAGAGTGTATTAATATATCTATGAAAGGATAAACCTTGGTAGAAAGGAGATCATATTAGTTTACATGACAATGTAATTAAAATTAATTGACACAATAAGAGCAACTGTAATTGTCATTTTTATGTATGTCATGCACATGTAAGAGCTGAAACGATATATGGTTTGAAAAACTACCAAACAATATAAATACTTACAGAAATATTTGTAGACATTTGGAAAATGGAGCCTGCCCCTTCCATAAAGTGACCATATCTAGAATAAATAGAAACCAAAAAATATATAATACACATGTACTGAAAAAGGAAATTTATATTATCTCCGACCAATATATGTGAAAGCTTTATAACCTTTTAGTGAAGCAAGTTGTCTTTAGTAAACAAGGAAACACAATGTCCATGACGAGAAACCTCTTCAGTTCTTTTTTGGTCAACAAAAAGGAATCAAAATACTCAGGAGGTTTGTTCTCTAAAAAATTCAACACAGGGCAGCAGTCAGGATAAGGACTGGAGTCATCCTCTGTTATCTGTCTCATGTTATGCCCCGCTGTCTGTAGGCACTGCTCTCGACAGATTGGACATGTCATAGCAATGTTTCCCTGAGAAGAATCATTAGGCATATTTTCTGTATGTCTGTCCTCAGTTTTGCTAGAATGTTCCACATCTGTTTTTTCAGTCTGACACTCATTTTCACTTGAGGATTGAAATGTACTACTTTTCCCTGGGACATACTTTAAGTAATTTTCCTCTGGCAGTTTAGTCAGAATCTTCAAAAAAGAATTTCAAATTTAAATCAATCTTTTTTTATAAATTTGCTGTAGAGTACTGTAAATTCAATACACATGTAGTATAAAAATAAAACAAAATACCTCTGCTGAAGTTTCGAAAGAAAACTTTAAAGATTCTCTTTTAGCTATGAGGTAATATCGTAGTCTTGAATTCGGAATGCCAAACTGGAGTGGTGAAAGCAAAAACTCCTGCATAGAAGTCATATGTAATAATTAATAACAAATAATGCTTAAAAACAAGATAAATGAAAATAATGTAACAAAGCTGAGTTTAAGTATCATTTCTTTTTCTTCAGAAAATTAAATACCTGATAGGCAAAGTTGCATTCCCTTAATGTTTCACGTAACTTAAGGCAAGTGTCAGATTCTTCAAAGCCTTTCACATTTTCAATGAGGATGTACTTTGGACAGTTATTTAACCTAGTACATTTAATAAACTGAATTTAGTATCCACATGCAATTAAAAATTTAAAAAATTTATTTCTAGGACAATAGCATCTTCGCTAGCCAAGGGTTTCCGATCTGAAATCTACTCTACAAGAGTAGATTTCGGATCAGAAACCCTTGGCTAGCGAAGATGGGACAATAGGACAATTTTCAACAAAAAATCAGATTCATCCAGGAAAGAAAGTACTATAATTGCAGAAAATTGTGTGGAAATAATTTATATTCCTCATTTTGGAAGGAGGTAGTATATGGTAAAGTTGAACTTCAGTATCTCGAACACGGATATCTCGAATACCATGGATATATCCTCGAACACGGATATCTAGAATACCATGGATATATCCTCGAACACAGATATCTAGAATACCATGGATATATCCTCAAACACGGATATGAATACCATGGATATGTCAAAATGACTGGGAAGTCCTAACCACATATTTATTAAGTATTTTACCCTTGATATCTCAAGCTCTTGGATATCTCAAAGTTTTTTCTGGTCCTATCAAGTTTGACCATTAGTATAACGAGATACAAAAACGTGTACAACTAAACTTTGCAATAATTAACACAGCCACTAATACCTTGGAAGTAAGGACAACAGATGAAGGAAAGAGCTGGTTCTGATGTCATTGGCGTCCAGTTTCTTACCAACTCTAGTGAATGGTTGACAAGGGGGACTCATCAAAATCATATCTATCTTCATCTCATCAAGCTTTTTGGCAGATAGTGACTGAAGGAAGTACATGTGAATAATAAAAAAAATATCAATATATATATAGACATATTGCAAAATTTCTAAATCTATTTTTAAAAA